CACAAAATAATCCTGAAAGGTCTCGTTATTCCGATGACTTTTGGACATATTCCAATAATAAATTTAATAATAACAACCGGCAAATAATTGAAGATAATACACATTTAAACAAAATTGGAAGAGCTGTTTCATGAAGTCAGTATGACGTACTCGTTACAGATGCACAAAATTTACCAATGGGTACATCAATTAGTTAAATTTTCATTTCATTTTATTAAAAATGTAAATGTATTTCTTACCAATAATAACTTTTTACAGCATAGTTCCATTTTGATAATTCTTTGCATATTCGAACGGTTAATTTGAATAAACAAACTTAGAAAAAAAACGAATGCGAAGAAAAATGATCGATCGATCGATCGATGATGAGTGTGCATCAGCGGACCAATTTTGTCAAAACATGGTACACCTAATTTATTACACACAAAATGTAGTTTTAATGACTCTAAAACTAATAAACTTCTTTATTTGATCTGATGCTGATGGTATATAACGTCTAGCTTATATTTGGGATAACTTTTTTCAATCTTAATGAGAAACGCAAAAACGATTGTTGAAAACTTATAACAAATAAGATAAATTATCAAAATAGGTAAGTAACTACTCGTATATTAGATACATAATATATTAAACAGATAAGTAAGAGTTTTAAGTGAGTAACCTTCTTGAATACTTTCATTTTAATATTGTTAAAATTTGTATTCACAACCTTCTCGCGTGTAGCTTTCTTATTTTCGATTTCAAAAAGGTACTATAGAAGTTTTTAAAGATGTATTTTCGGTGGATGTTATTGAGGTTGTCTTGTCTCAGTTTTCTAAGTTTTCATTTTCCGTATCGTTACGTACAATATTATACTCCTGTAAATAAGCCAAGTCGTACTTCATAGAAAAAGGTGAAACAAATCGCCAAGATTTGTCGAAGTCGCCCAATTCATTGTTAGATAGTTCCAAGTATTCCCTGGACAGTATAAAGTGCCAAAATATATTAAGCCCAGTCATAATGGAACGAAAACATTTGAAACCATGACTCATCACGGATGTCACCGGCTGTGAAAACGGGAAAATATACGCAATGTTATTAAACCCACTTCATTTCAAATTTAGAACGGTTCAGTCTCGATTCATCCCGCGCGGCGCGTGCGCCGACATCGCGAGTTTGACGTTTGAATCGGAAACTATTGTTCAGACCGTTTATTTAATATTGTACTTGCAAAGTACCTTACGAAGCGAATGTGACAAGTACCTTTGTAGATTAAAAAGTGTGACGGCCATTGACACAAACTATATTTCGTAGTCAAATATATATTTGTTTATTGAAGTGGTATGAATAATTCTTTTCTGTTTACTTTATAACATTCTTCAACTGAATATTTTCCATCTTCATGACTGATTACTCACGTTCTTTATAGTTGTTTAAAAAATATGATATCAAAACAAAGGGGTAGTTTTTGTTATTTTTGTAAATCATGTAGAAATTCTGTGTGGTATCAAGAATCATGTCAAAGAAACGGAAAACTCTAATCCATTTTCACTTCAATTTGTTATTATTGTTTTTGGAAAATCCTGTTTCACTTTACACACAATTATATTATGTATATCCTTGTAAAATGATCAGTCTTATAAAATGAAATAACGTTTATAGTGAAAAACACTACACTTATCGAAAATATCTTTAAGTTCATTTTCTAAAAGGGAGAACGACAAAGAAGGAAATTGTAGAGAGAAATTATGTTCTGTGAATTAGTAAAATTAAAACGAACCAAAAAACCATTTAATTATAAAACATTTCTATGAATGATAAACATTATTTTTATTGTGGATCGAACCGCTTCGAATTTTGCTTTATATACGCATTATTCAAAGAGAGCCACCTTGACCAAATATATGTACTTCAACTTAGAATTCTAAAAGAGATTGTACCACGTAATATAAAAAATAAATTTAAAAACGTCTACGAACAGCTATTTGATTTCTGCAAAATTAGAAAATAAAACTAACGTTACTAACCGAGGAGTAGGTACTTTAACGTAGATCTTCAAAAATACAAAACCCCTACAGGAAAAGTAGTGAGCGTTAACATCATCATGATCCTTTGTCATTGATATACAAAAAACCTTTTTTTTTGTATATCAATGTCCTTTGTACATATATTCCAGTTCCTAGCATACACATATGGCATGCTCCTAAATAGTCATAGACATAATAATAATTAAAACTAAATAATAAGAATATGTAAAAAAACTAAAATAACCTTGACTATCGCAGAGCTGTTATGAAACGTCAATAATGATTTGAGTTTGAACATGTTTCATTGATTGTTCGATAACATTCAATGCAATGTGATATTGTTTATTAAACAACATTGTTATATGTAATCGGTTATTGTCAGCTATGTCGGTTATGCTGTTATAGATACGTTTCGTAAAATCTCATAGTATTCATTGAGGCGTTAAACGCAACGTTTAGAGTGAGGCAGACCAGAGACGAATTGGCTCTGACTAAAACTATATGATGTCATATAATTGCAAGGAGTTGTACCTTTGTTATAATGATAATATAATATCTATTTCACTTTTAATTTATAAAAGGCAATGTAACATAAAATAAAATAAAAATCACAACAAAAAACACAACAATTACTATTACAAATACGTTTTTTCATAAACGCAGAAGCATACTTATCAGCGATTACCTTTAGAATGCTATTTGGTGATGCCTTTTACTCTGCTTAACAAAGATGCTAACCGCTTGCGTACTATGATAGTATGGAAACAATCAATTCTTTCTTGCGTAAACATGATAGAAGTAGTACATACTATTATCATGATCCATCAAATCTCAATAGGTGTCCGTACCTACCATCCTCTGTCTTAACAAATGCACTCGATAAGAAGCGTCCTGGCTTTCCGGTTCTACTCTGAACTAAGTCAACGATGATGATCATTAGAACCTCTGTCTATTACAACTTTAAAAAGAAAGGAACCTATATCTACGTAAAATATTTTAAGTATTTTACATATTATACATAAGTATTATACTATTCTAAGTACTAATTTGCGCCGCGCCAACGATATTTTCTCTTTTGGACGTTCAGATTGATGGATAGACTCATTAATTCATCGTGTTCAAAAATTAGATTAAAACAGTTTGACAAATTCGATAACTAACAAGTGACGTATGGATGTCACTTGAAATGGTTCAAGCGTCTATTAATTAGTTGGACTTGTGATGTACGGGTATATAATATTCGTAGGATTTTGTATCACGACGTATTAATTGTTTTTCACGATTTTTATAAAATTTCTAGTTTAATTTCTTGTTATGCATTAGGATGCCAGTAGCTTGATTGCTTTAAACTATTGGCTCGTTATATTAAAGCATATTACTCAATGATATAATTCGTCTGCCAGTAGAAATCTGTTTTACAGATTGCATTTCAAAACGATCTATAGATACAGTTCAAATTTTCATTTTTTATTTTAAAGTTTTCAAACTCCATCTAGACTAAATTATTTAAAAATAGATGGTTGTGAAATAATATAGCTTGCCTTCAATTAATTAGCATTCGTGTTATTTATTTGGTGATGATAAAAATAGATTTTTGTAAATCTTCTGTTTAAAAACACATTTTAGTATTCCTAGTATGGTTTTTACTTTTCAACGAATGTTTTTGCATTTACACATACTCGTATGATGCTTATAATCAGTTATCCGCTGTTTTAGTTGGGCTGTGACAGGAATGGTATGAATAAGTCGACAATAATCATCGCAGACGTAGAGACGACAGCTAAAGCTTGTACTAGGGGTAAAATATAAAAATAGTAATTCGACACAAATAGCTTTTCCTTTGAATTTTTTTCGTCACAGTCTGATTTGTGTGACCCACATACCGATGCTTTGAACCTGGAGGTATGCTGTTTATATATTGCTACTCGATAAATACGTAAAACGTTTACCATCTTCATTTTTTACAGTTATTGAAACAGAATGTTTTATATGTACTACATAAAAATGAGCACCATGCCATTCTTGAAAGGAATTTAAGAAGTATAGCAGCAGAATCGTGATAATTCATTTTACTAGCGTGATACACGTTAGAAAATTATTTTTTAACGATCATTTTATTTTATAAACTGTATAGTCATGTACAGGGATAAAGTCTATAGATTAACAGAATAATATTCCAGTTATAGTGCATGTAATCTAAATAGAGGGTTGGGAGCGATGACACCGTACAGAGTTTTGTTGCATGACATTTACGTTTTGGCTTGTCCCGTCTGGATTCAGTCTGAGTTATTTTAGATGCCATAAGTAGCAGTGAATACAGCACATTCAAAACTCGTGCTCGCTAAACCAAGTATTAATAATGTTCTTTTTTTATATACGAAAATGATTTCAGATAATTCAGACAAAAACCACAGTTTCAAAATAAATGTGCTGTCATAAAAATGTTCGAAATAGGGAATAAGGGTATTTCCATAAGGCTGACTGCGGCTAATTTGAGGTGATCGGTCTAAACAGGGTGTAGGACCCTTATCACCTGTCTTTCAACACCTGTGGACAACCTCGCTGTATCTTAGTACGGTATTTGTTTTAAAAAACACGTCAAAACTTTTTCATATTCAATTTCGTAACTAGTTTACATTTGCCTTAATTACTGCGGAGACTGAGAAATATAAGAAAAAAGAACCTGATACTGACATGCGTCTGAACTATTTTGCAATACCACGGATTAGAAATTTGCAAATGTTATTTTTAAAAGTTAAAAAAAATGATTATATTATTAATTGATTATTAATGTTTGCCATGCGTGTGTAAGTCGTAATCAGGGTTAGCAGAATTGCAGGGTTGAAATCTGATAGCCAATACGCCCACAAGTCGACAGATGCAGTTCGTCATTTAGCTTTTACTGTCACGCTGAAAGCATGTCACACATACATCAGTTATGATTGAATCATAATAAACAAAGTTAATAAATCTGTGAAAATATATCCGTGAACAATGGAGTGTGGACGTCTCACGAACGGACTAAGGTGGCGCGCATTTTCGCCCGACTCGTTAGATGTTAACATGTCCGTGGAAATTGAGGACTATTCTGGAGACGAACACTATACGGCCAGTGACAATTATCTAATAAGTTTCCCGGAGAGCGATCCCGAATCGGTAAATGATATTAACACGCAGATATCTAATGATGCAGATGTCACAAACGAAGCTCCTAAACTTCTTAATCGTTGTTATGAAAACCCTCTTTTCATCCCGGCCAGCAAAGTTTTAAAAGACGAGCTAAGTGATGGCGGGGACAGTGAAGAACTAATGAAGAGTGAAGCAAAAAAGTTTGAGGATTATAAGTTCTGCGAGGCAGTTAACGACTTCGACATAGACTTGGAAGCGGGGGAGGCCGTGCCTATAGTGTACCTGGCGACGACGCGCGCCGCGCGCCTTCAGAGAGCACTGCGTCTCGCCGGATACAAAAAGGTAAGCTTCATTTCAGTCTCTCTTTATTAATATCGCTACGTTCTTTGATGAAAATATTTTCTCGTTATTATTGAAATCAAAGTTGTCGTGACAGCTAATTACCATTCCTTTTTTCTTTTTGTTCTTATAACCGTCGTCGTAGCATACAATAAAGTTTTTTGTTTGTTTCGACAGGATGAAATCAAAATGTCACAAAAATAACGAACCTTTACGTAGCTGCTACGAGTATGAAACGCTTTAAATAAGATATTATTAATTTGGTGTATAGTCTTGTTAATTAATGCCGGTATCACTTTATGTTTTTAATAAACTGGTACAAGTACACGTAATCCACATAATGACATGGGCGTCGTATTTCATGATTTCATATACATTAGTAATTAAAATACTTTAATAAATGCTCCTGAGTAATACCTCATTTTCAATTTCTTGTTATGGTGTTTTTTACTCTAGTTTAGTAACAAAATATAACAACACAAGATTCAAAGTTTGTGTAACCTCGGACCTCTTGTTGCTCAATTCTCTTTACATATCGGATCATAAGATTAACACCCACATTGTAAGTTAGATTATTCACCCTTTTACTTAAAGTAGGAGATGTATGTTATTTCATAGCCACTTTCCAATAATTTATTAGAACTAGGCTGGTTTTTCAATCCTTAGATAAGTGAGTATAAACTGTCAGATAAATAGCTTGAGAATAAATTTATCTTGCTGTTTATCAAGTGAATGAACTTTGTCTGTTTTTCAATCGGTTGTAAACCGACAGATAGTTACTTGATGGTCTTTAATAGCTAAGTTTACTGTAAACATGTGCAAGCGATGCAGCTATACAGTTAGTAACACGTTAGTAAGGATGAGCCATTAGATAACATTTGTGTCATTCTTTTCTTGTCATTGCTTATCTGTCAGATAATAATACAACCTTATTAACGGTGGTAGTGACGGTGAACGAGGTGACGAAGTGATTTGTGTAATGGACTCCGGGGTTCAATTTTGGGGTTAAATTTGTGTACTTTTATATTTATTTGTTAAATTTTGTCTTTGTGTTTCTATGTATAATATGAAACACACACACATAAAATGTATATTTATTTATATCAGTTAGCTAGTACCCATAATACAGGCTGAGCTGAGCTCTTATTTTGAGATTAGATTGCGTTGTGGGAAAGTGGTATAAAATATTATTATTAGTATTCGTGTTAATTTCGTATCAAATAGAATCAATTAACAAACGAGTATTAAATTTCAAGAAATAGCATTTGCTAATACCTTGTAATGAAATTGTTTATCATAACACCAAGTATTGTCATATTTTTCTCTAACAACCCTTTATTTTCTCTCAGGTCACTGCAAGATTTAAATACTCAATAAGGACAACGTATATAAACTTTATTACAACAAATATAAGAGAATGCACCAAAGTCAACATCATTATTCTACATATTATATCATTAACTGAGGCTTGAAACGACAGATTAAGTTATTCCTCAGATTTATGCTTTATTCTTCAGATAATAGCTATCTGATCATTGAAAAAACAAAATTACGCTAACTGTGGAATAACTGCTATCTAATTGTTTATCTGAGGATTGAAAAACCGACCCTAAGATGTACAAAGTGTAACTAAGCTTCAGCCACACTGCCGAAAACTCAGCTGCAGCTCTCCATTAATATTTACTATTGTGTACACACCCTAGAACACGCTTATAAATAGAAATTTAAGCCAAACTAAGCAGAGCTTGTACTGGGTATGGGTACTAGACAACTGATATAGATATCCTTTTTTTTGTAAATACATACTATACATAGCAACACTAAGAGCAAATCAAACATTAAATGTTAATGATCATAAATGTTTGACTTGAGCGGAAATCAGCATATGAAAAAAACATCGCTCCTATTATACTTGGGACAAAATTACATTGAACTGATACTGATACGATAATACGTGGGTTAAAGTTGCTAAGTAGGTAGGTTAGACGCTATTTTACAGTGAATCTAGTATTTTTTTATTATTATGTAGGGAATGGTAGCTATATTTAATAAAATAATTACTAGATTTACTGTTAAATTGCTGAGATAGGGTCTTTATGCGTCATCTGAAAACAGCTTATTGACAACAACGCGTACCCTACGTACGAAAAAATCGAATGATAAATCACCGATCTTTCACAGTTCACTGTGATTTTGTCCCATGCCTAGCTCCTATGGAGATGGGTATTTTTGGAACGAAGTTCCTTAACGCGCGTTGTGAAAGGGGGCTAGACGGAAAAAAATCTCACGATAAGTTGTAACGACACTTTTTATGTCAGTCATTCAGCGCCATCTATCGAATAGATAGGAAACCATTACTTTTCATCTCAGTATTTATTTTGAATTGTCACTTGTCAGTCATTCAGCGCCATCTATCGAATATATAGGAAATCATTTCTCAAGGAGATTTTACCAATGTATAAATTGTTTTAATTAGAAACCAACTGAAAAATATGTAAGTAATAGCCGCTTTCATAGATGGCGTTGTAATTAAAATCGTATCGAATCAGTTTTACTAGATAGTCACAACTTCGTTCCTATCGGGTGTCCCACGACACCACACGGCTTTCTTTTTACATTTTTTTTTGTCAGTCGGTTGGAATTAAATGACGCAATTTCTTGCTTTTAAGATTGTCAATTACAAAATTGATTGCGCTTCGTTACTGGTCCTTCTTAAAACTGTAGATCCTTCGAAGCTTTCGCGCAAACACTACTGTATCCACCATTAAGAAAAACTGTTCTGGGTTCCAATTTTTCGTATACAAAGATTGTGCTAGATGTTGAATAGTCGCTGCGACATAGTTGATTTCTACTTTGATTAATTAATCCAGAATAAATCGATGTTAAGCTCTTTGCCAGACCGTACATTACTTTAGTTCATCCTAGTTATCAATTATTTTCATAAATTTTAATAGATTTAATCTGTTTTATTCTTGTTATATATTTGGTAATATATGCAGCTGAATAGTAGTAACGTTAAATAATATTTTCGTGAAATATGCAACTACAAAATGAATTTCATTTGAAATGCTAGCTTTAAATTGGATAAATAAAACTCGATAGTAACTTGCTCGAACACTGGTGTCTTGTTATTCGCGCCAACAAACGTACGCCACAAATTCACGGTATGCTGTACAATTTTAATTAGCACTGTCAGTGAACTTTATACTGTATTACAACTGCAAAAATCCAACATCAATTATAAAGAAAACATGGAAATGGGATTGAATCGAAATCGAATAAGCGCTTTTACGGTACCAACCAGGTTTTGTGTCGCATTGATTAGATCCGTTTGTAAGGCTTCGTTTGCTTTTAATATTTACAGTATTCGATTCTTAAATCCTTATAAGCTTGTTTTAAAAGATCTAATAAAAACGTAGCTCGGGTGGGAAAGAATTGCGTAACTAACTAGCTTGTGAACGAGCGATGTGAACTAAAACGGGAATGACTGGAATAGGTCCCATCTCTGCGGAGTTACAAATAAATCGCAATCATCTTATCGAAGGCAGACATAAATAGTTTTGCGTTCTGTTTGACATTTACCAGTTTTTTGTTTAAACTCCGCACTTTTAATCTATACTAATATTATAAAGCTGAAGAGTTTGTTTGTTTGTTTGAACGCGCTAATCTCAGGAGCTACTGGTCCGATTTGAAAAATTCTTTCAGTGTTAGATAGCCCATTTATCTAGGTAGGCTATAGGCTATATATCATCACGCTAAGACCAATAGGAGCGGAGCACCAATGAAGAATGTTTCAAAAACGGAGAAAATTTATTACTATTGAGAGACGCAGACGAAGTTGCGCGGGTCAGCTAGTTACTTATAAAAATTGTAAGTAATATATTATTACATTATTTACGATTTCTAAAAGTAAGTTTAGCGTTATCGCTAATAACGTTTTTGTATCTTCGTTTGTTTGTTAAACTCCATTAATCTTTGGAATTACTACTCGGCGTACCAAGCATACCTATCAAATAAACCGTTAAGGATACAACAATTTTAAGGTCAATTTAAAGTTGAAAAAGCAAATTTAACTTTCAAAATATAAAAAAAAATCTTTGTAAAATATAAAGTACCATATTTACAGTTTAGTTTACTGTTGTCAACCTTTATTTAACATTCCAAGTCCCACCGATACATGAATGGTGCTGTACTGTTCTTACAAATTTTATTTCAAATAACTTTGGACAGACTTTAAATCCAATCTGGCTTAAACAGCTAACTAATTTTACGAACTATCGCCTATGTATTGAAACTGTTTGGCGAATAGCAGAAGGAATTAAAATGTAAATTACATAAATATACGTACGTACGTATTACATTAAGTACTTAGTTTTAGTAACATTTTAAAATACCCGATTTGATGGATATTAAACGGCTTTGTTTTTCTTTAACTTTCTTTAACATCTTCGGTTAAGTAAAATTGCGATCGTAATTATATTTTTGACAACCTATATTAATACTACAAACTACTAATACTAAATATTAATTCTTAAGAAAAGAAAGTAAAAAGTGGATCATTTACGCGATATCAGTTAAAATTTATTATAAAAAGTAGTCCAGAAAACATAAGTTAGGGCAATAAAACAACAACGTCAAATTATTGTAACAAGAATGTGCTTACGCAATAAAACCAAAACTGTGTATCCTCTAGGACTATCGTTACAATTTGCTACAAATAATTAGAGGATACTTTGTTTTCCTATGTTTTTTAAGTTTAAAACTAGTCTTATAATTATGAGAACTTAATTTTATAAGGATTTATTGTTATTTTGTAAATTCGGCATTTTGAACCTCAACTTTATTAGTTTTAAGTTGGCAAGAAAATGTTACTCGTATCTATATCTTATTATATACTTGTATGTATATCTTATTATTATGCTCTTTTTATTATAATTGGTTCAAATACGTAATTTGTAATGACTGCTATCTATCAGAACTCTTTATATATGTAAACAGACACTTTCGTGACTTAGTACTTGGTTGACGTTGGCAGATATCTAAAGTGTATACAGACCTCTATAAATCGGTAATGTTGAAGGCCACAACCTAACTAGGTCCAATATGAAGCTTGTCCCATGCTTGTTTGGCATAAAAGTTCTAGAAAATGTCTCACCTCGAACTCGCATACTTTTACCCACATAGTTTAATGTTGTAACAAACAG